AAAAAACAAACAAGCATTACACATCGAAATATAGCAGATGATGTTCTACATGACATTTACTGTTGCTTGTACTTTAAAACGTTGTAAATCTAATTAGATCACCATTTGTCTATTAGTCTTATGATAGTTTCTGAAAAATAGTCAAAGCTATTAGGTAAAAAAAAACAACAACAGTAAAAATATACACTATATGATGTGTATATTTTTTAAGCTTCAGTCTTACTTTACTGACCAGTGTTAATAAATAGCAGCATTAATTTTAATACACATAGTCTCGAAGGGTTGTATTCCATAAAAATTACGTATAACAACTTACTAAAATGTTTTCCATCTACTGCAACGATATACTGTAGCCATGTTATCACGCAACAACAAAGAAATAACACAAAATTGTATACGTCACCAAACTGGTATACATATATATTTAGAGGTGTTTCAGTAAGCGGCCCTTTTCTGGTGTACGAGTAGAAAGAACGACTCAATGAATACAGAAAAAACTGGATAGATAGCAAAAAAACTATGATTCGCTGGCAATCCTATTTTTGTGCATGAGAAGTTAGGGAAAAAAAGTTTTTAAATATACACAATTAATATACAGTGTTTCAAAGTTTTATATCATATAAAGAACCGGAATTATCCAAATTAAAAGCTGCAATACTTTCAGCTTAGGTAAATGTAAATGTAAACCATCGTGTTTAACAGGCTATGTAGAAGTAAGTGAAACGTTTCCATTCCTAAGTTGGACATATTATATTTAAGTAAAAATTATATGTTAAACATTATCATAACTTGTATTGATCAGCGATAATCTTCCCCTTTTATTATTGACAAAAAGTATTTAAAAAGGCCTTAGCTTCGTGTCGCAAATTGCGTTACAAACTTTGTTACTTTTTTTACTTTTATTTCGATAAGGCCTAAGCCACAGCAAGGGCCATAGGGTTTTCATTGAAAAGTTAAATATAATTTTAAAGAAAAAAATACTAACATATCATATCATTGCACAACGATAAAACAGGCTGTTAACACTTTATTTTCAACAACGGCAAAAGAAAGAAAAGCATACAAGGATATATATTTGCTAATTTGTGAAATATAAAAACTGATTTTGTCAAAGAGCTAATGATATAATTCGCGTTATTAAATAGGCTCTTCCGTTTATGAACATCTTAAAATTATTTTTTTCGTTCATGAAAATGTAAGGTGATACCTAAAGATGACTAGCTGCTCTGGTAATATTTAATACATATTTTAATATTCAAAAAATTACACATTAATAATATCATTTCAGCAAGTTCAAGTTTAGAACTTATAATATAAAAAAAAGATCACAGCTACAGAGAAAATAAAATACTACAATATACTTTCAGTAAAATACAATGTATATATATATATATATATATATTTCATATGAAACAACATACACTTTCTCGCTCACTTACTCACTCATCCCATTTAACAATACAGTAATAAAATATTCACTAGCCTGAGCATTAACTGTTAAATACCTGCTTAGAACCGTTCAAAAGGGATGAAATGTACTTGTGAATGAAAAGCGACTACGATAAAATTATATGCGGTTATTTGTACTATTCAAACATTATTAGGTGCTAACTTGAGGAACGATAAAGCTTTTTCTTATTTAGAGCATATCCTTCACTAATTACAACAGCCGGCTTGCGACCTAACCGGGCCATTAAAAGTTGTTTAATTCTAAACCAACTACTACAGTCTGCTTTGAGCATGAGAAAAATCTCAAAGGTGGCAACAGCATCTGATGCACATTTTATTTTTCCAATGCGACGACTAAGTTTCTTCTCTTCCAAGTTGATGTAGAGAACACATCCACGTAATCCACATGGTTCACGTTCTGACATCCGTACGATATCTTCAGCTATTCTGTGAGTAAGGTTTGATGGAAGGAGCACTTCGCTACAGTGAAGTTCTAGCTTAGCTTGCCGGAGGCAGTTTTCCAGCTTCCCCACCAAAAACTTACAACTAGTCGCTTCACATTCATCCTCATTAGTAGTATACGACAGAAGAACATCTGCGGGGATTAAAAATATTTCTAAAAAATTATACCTATAAAATTTAGCGCCATAATACATATTACTGATTATAACATACATCATGTTCGTGTAATTATCTATATTATATTATGATCATACTAAAGCATATTTTGGACAGCTTACTAGCTAGAGGAGAATCTCTGGTGCTAAGATATTAATTGTTTTCATCCGATAAAAAAAAAAGAGAGAGAGAGTAGTTTTCGTTTGAATATATATCAATAACTCCGTATTATAATGTTGTGGTTATGATTCTTAATCGCAGAATTATCAGTTAGGAAAAAATTCTAACTTATGGAAGGCTAACAAGAATTTATGAGTCGAGATACTAAATTATTAAATAACATAATAAGACTAGTTGGTAAACGAATGAAGATCCAGGATAATTTATAGTTAATTAGTATTGACTATCTACTGCTTCTAACTGACTAACAAATGAGAGCGACATCTTTAATCTTAATAAGATCATATATATTTGATGTTTAGATTTGATACTTTCCAAAAAGGAAGCTGACTGATAAAAACAAAACAAAACAAACTCCTACTAGTAGTACTACTAACATTATTGCCAACTTAACATCATCTACAATATATACTATAGAATGTAAATAAATAAATATATTTATATATATTAATATATAAATATATCTTAACAAAAACAAGGTATATTATTAACAGTAACTAAGCGTATAAATCAGATATATATTAGCTTATTTGTAAGTTTACCATAAAAATATTTAAAAAGACAACAACAAAACTAGTCCTTACCGCATGCCTCGAAAGTTTATCGTAAATCAACTTTTAAACTTCGCAAAAACCTTCCATAAGCGAATTTTCCCCTCGTTAAGTTATTCTTATTAGCTACTCAGACAAGCCTACTCACCTTTATTGTCTGGCCAATAAACGTTATTATTCTCTCCGAAAGCCGTAGATGAAAACGTAAGGCTATTTTGAACATTGTGAATTTTCATCTTCTTGCTTACTTTTTATGTAATTAAGCACAATTTCAGTTGATTTTCAGATGATTAGTAAAAAATGGATATCGCCTAACTAGTATTTCTAGTCTTGTATACTTTGGCTTAGGCTAAGTCGTAAGTCAGTATATTCTTCCGATAAGTTCAAGACTGATACATGAAATGTTTAATATTTTGAACTGAAGAAGTAATACGATGCACGCCTTGCACGAGATCTCTCAGTATTTTAATACAAAAGAAAAATGTTTCCGTCACAAACTTAGTTGAAAAAATCTAAAGTATCATACCAGAATTGAACTTTTACGACTAGCTCTGCCGACTTTAGCAGTAGGCTTCTATACGCGCTGACTGAAAAACCAGCTGATTTTATTAAGTTGGCAGCCATTAGATTCATCTTGACCAATCACCATCTAATTCCTGTAGAAAGGCACCAATCCGTTTAAAGCCGAGCGCCTAGCAACTGAAATGCTAACAGACGCCGAGAGAGTACACGTGTATTATACAGATCAGTGGCATTCAGTGCGTGTAACACGGCCGGATAGATAAAACGATACGGCTGCCGCTTACGAGGAAGGTTGACAATGGGTGACGTTAGACGAGTTTCTATTCAAGTTAGACGTGTTTGCTGGAAATTAGGCACCACTATTAAAAACAACTGATTCGTAAATTTTATAGTAACACCAAATTAATTTCAAATAAAGCGTTTAGCAACTGTACTCACCTTAAACATGGTGATTTTGGCTTTAATACTTTAAGCCTTGATTTTTTTTTCCTGTCTTGTCTGATGTTGATAAACTAGTATTAACTAGTGGCAGTAATGCTACTATTAGTATATTAAATTTTTATTGGGGGATTAGAAACTTCATTTTACAATTTTCAAAATTTACTATTTTATATAATAGTAAGGACTTTGAAAATGTGGTTATCATTTCAATCTTTAAAATATATTCAGTCATTATTTAGAACCAGAAAAAAAGAAGAGAACATTTCAACATTTAGACCTATATCATTTTCTAGTTAGGTTTAATAACATTGACTAAGAAGTTCTATGGGCTATATTCGCAACTTCTTAACCTTATGAAAGTATTATATTGTCAAATGACAAGCTTAATTTAGCCTAAACATTTTTCTATTAATTGTGAAGTTATTCGTAAAACAAAAATATGGTGTAGTAAGCAGCTGGTGATAAGATTAATTAGTTTAGGCTCAGAATTTCTTTTTTCTGAGTGTATTTGGTTTGTTAATTATATTTTGTAACTCTTTTTCGTTAAATATCCAGTTTTAAAGGAATGATATAAGCCAGTAATATTACTACCCAACTATATTTTAACTGTTAATGTATTATGGTGCTGAAACAGTATGTTATCGCATAAATACAAATTACTAAGGAAATTGTTTTTGTTTTATCTTGAATATGCATCATAAAACTGGGGTCGATCATACAGAGAAAACACAAAGAACATATATATATACAATATTTGAAGATGAGCTGTATGACATCACAACTTTTATGTCCTCAACAAAATCTTTATAATTATGCTACACTGTAGGTTTTAGTTGTACTCTTTTGGGACTGACAGATTGAGAAATATGAAGATCATAATTTCATACACATAATTTAATTTATACAGTGTTACGTGTCAGAATTTCGAATAGTCCGAAGCCGAGTTAACTGATAATTCAAATTTAGTAGTTAAATTTTACTTTGGATTTAGTATTTAAATATATGCCGATATATTAGTCAATTTACGATATTTGCCAACAAGATTGATACGCACCGTCTTCGTTTTTTAACACAAATACGTTTTAATATACACACAACAGTACAATTTACAGTAACAATTATTACCAATAGTTATTACAAACAACGATTTATAAACAAAAGTTTCACAAACTTACAAACAATATAAAATCTTCTTTCTAGTTTGGAACTCCCTTGATATCTTATCGAGGGTTTACGATGAGCGAGTTACTTACGAGTTGATGTAAGTACGATGAGCGAGTTAATTACGAGTTGATGTAAGTACGATTCGCCGTGAAGCTAGCTAGCTTTGTTCTTGGCTACACACGCTAGGTTTTCCACCGTTGAAGTTAGATAATGTTTTCGTAAAAATACTAATGTCCGATGAGAATCCACTGAAGTTAAATAATTTGTAATGTTCGAACTTTGTATAGGTTCCTGGTCAAATATTTGGAGTTTTCCGATTGATAAGCGTTATAAAAATCACAGTTATAACTTTCGAAGTTTATAGCACACTGATTGTAGCGAACTACTGATAGACATTGTCACTTAGGTGCGTTGTGTTGGTTGTATTTATAGGCCTGAGATGTTTTTCTTGAAAATTCAGATTACATAACAATACTGAGCTATATTTAAACGTTTACGTATATAGATATATTGTTGATTCTTACTCTCGAGAATCTTCTACAACTTTGGAGAATAGGCGGGAGTTTCGCAATACATATCTAACACTACAAGCTATGCATGTTTTTAAATATAAACTGAATCTAAACAACGCTCATATTAAAATAAATACACAAGAAGAAATTCGTTACATACAGCTTATGTATGCTTTATATCAATTAACAGAGCAAACTGTTGTAATTTCACCCCTTTCTTACATTAACCAGATATATTTATCTCAAAATAATAATGACTTCAACACAGCTAACCCTTCAAGTCTTCCTTTCTAAGTAACGTTGTTTGCACAGTTTTTGTGAAATATATCCTCAACAAAAAATAATCCGTATCTGAATGTTAATACTATAATTTAACTCAATAACGTGATTTTTTTAGCATCCGTCGTCCTTTTTCGTTGTCATAACTTTAGTATATACTTACCTGTAAGTTGTTTTTTATTGTAAATTTTTGTTCGTTTTTTCAGTTACAAAAAAAATATGCTGCATAAAATTTATCTTGTTATATAATTCAATCAGTCTTTTGTATTCGTAATAACTTATTACCAAAATTTAACTATACAGGGAATTTATATAATAAAAAATATTCATTTTATGTAAAGGTTACTGTTTTTTTACAGTCGTACAGGTAGTTATTTTCAAAAGATTTTGCATAATGTCTGTGATATGCTTTTGATATTTAATAACACTTTTAGGAATTAGCCTTTACTCGTTTATTTTGTTTCAGCTCAAAGCTGAACAATGGGCCAAAGGGATGGACCCCTTATTTTAGCCTTATATATTTCCGTAACTTATCTGGGCCACCGGGGGTAGGGGCGATTTCATCTTCACTTTAAAAAACAAACATATATATATAGTCACGATATCAGGCTATGAGGAAATGATATTGTATAGATGCAACTGAAATGTTACTATTACACAGAAACTTAAAGTATTGAATCTATTGGAAACAACATATACTTTCATATATACTAAATGATACGAGAATTATACTGTCACTTACTGCAGGCTTTTTTTTTCGGAAGCAGTTACTGTTTTATGGGCAATTATAGTATATTTATACAACTGCTGTAATGCCTATACTTGAAAGGCAGACAAGTAATATTTATTCAGATGGCATATGGAAAAATGTTATTGCATGACTCAATGGTTTATATTTTCTCGCATCACCGAATATAATAAAAAATATTCATGTGATTAACTTTGATGTAAAACAGCATTACTCTGTAACTCACTATAGTTATTGTTGCTCATTTGTTTGTATGTTTTAGCACAAAGCTACACAATAGACTATCTGCGCTCTGTCCGCTACCAGGAATCGAATCATGAACTTTAATGGGGTAAGTCTGTAAACTTACCGCTGACCCACTAAGATATCACATTTTCTTTAACAAAAATAAACATTCATACATATAAAATCCACTTGATATAAATGTTTCATGTTCAAGTATGTGTTCAGTTCCCCCTGTTGCTACGCTATTACTGCTTTTACGCTTTGTATAAAATATTCTGTTTTAGCTTGTGCATTATATATTTGTTGTGTTTAATTTTAGTGTTCGTTAATTTAATTGAATTACTAACTACAAACACACTTCAAACAGTAATAATTAACCAGAAAATCTAAAACCAATTGTATGTCCTGCATATTTTTACACTAGTTTTGATCGAGTTTTTTGTTTTGATTTTGTAAATAATTATATTTGTATATTATTTATTACTGTTCTAAATGTATCAATAAGTCGTGTCTTGTGTGAATGAACTCAGACTCTGGTGGCCCAAGGTCACAGAATCAAGTGCTCGTGTCGAATAACAAATCGTCTGCCTATATTATAGATATATACACACACACATATACATATAGAGAGGGTGCAATTGTAAAATATTGAATATAATCTCTTTAAAATACGTATTCTTTTAGCAGAGGCGTTATTAAAGGTTGAACTGTACAAGGTTGTACAATAAATACTGAATTGAATACACTCACAGCACCAGGTTCATGTTTTTCAAGCGTGTCTATCAGAGAATACATAAATCAAAGTGCTCACGATGTCGTGACCACTGATTCACAATAATACTGATTATTATATATGTAATGCCGTATCAAAGGGTTTGCCAATTAAAAAAATGTACTAGACATTGATGTATATGAATGCAAAATTTTCAGTTACGAATTTAACAAACGTTATACGTAAAATACATGTTAAGTGTGTAACATGTTGTTGGTTTTAATTACTATACATAACATGTTACCATACGAAGAAGTCTAAACTTTATACACGAAATATCAGTCAACTTATTTATCGACCAACAACGTTCGATTTACAAGAAACTACACATGTATGTTACGTCAGATCTTTGGCACTGATACTAAAATTGTATGTATACCTTTTTCTTCTTGCAATTGATTCGTGTTGTTAAGTGACAACCATGATCTAGAAACATGATCAAACAGCAGACTCTTCATGCAAATAAACTTTATCTAATAATTGTACTTGATTCCTTATAACTGTGCAGGATTTCTGGAATCCATTAACCGCAATCCGTTTCACAAAGCCCTTCTCAAAATACCGAAACAAAATAATTTATTGGATATGTAAACCAGTCGGTTTATAACCTATTCTCATGACAATAAAGAATTTATCTGCCCACTGTTTTTCACTAACTGATCGACTTTCTTCCAAGAAGAAGAAGGTAATGTACTGCTTGAATTGTAGAATTATAATAATTTAGATAAATCAGTACTTTCGTCTGTAGTCAAAATTTAACCAAACACTACACTAATGTCACTAACGTGAATAGGTAGGTTGACTCTTTTCATTTTATATATTCTTCTAATAATCAAAATTTATAAATTACGAAATCTGAATATATTAGAATAGTAACCTCTATACAAAATCGGAATTAGAATGAAAATTTCGGCGGAAAGAAATCAGGATAAGAAAGGTAGTTATATGTTTCTTTTTAAAGATATCTTTG